TATAAAAACTACAATGTTAATTGTACCAACCACTCGAAATGTAATTAGTAGGACATCAACCACCTCGTCACCGCAGCCTTATTGGTCTTTGCAGGAGTTTTCAGTTGGATCTCAAGTCGGATTTTGAACAGAAAATCCTATAATTTTCCATTTGACAAGGAGTGATGAAGCTACATATATAGATAGCTCAGAAAGGAGCTACAACTCCCTTAATTTTGTATATATAATATGCATACTTAGATCTTGAGAGAGAAAAAAAAAACAATCAAAAGTGTTATAATGAGGTCTGTTAGCCTTCCTATCATCCAGAATTTAGATTCACTCGTCAAAATCTGCTGCGACTTGTATTCCTTCCACCTCTCGTCACTCTAAGTCGTTCTGATTTCGCGCTCACAACGAGTAATGTCATTTGGCTTCATACAAACAAACCAAAGTGGGGGGCGTGAATATCAATTCATATCCCTTTTGACTTGGTGAACACTTCTTCTTCTTCTTCTGCAAACTGCTGTAAGAGGAACTGCATGATTAATGGGGTCGGCATTCCGGCATTGAATGGCACTTATGACTTACGGAAGTGGTCAAAATTTCTAACTCTTTTGTGTAAATTGAAAGATGGAAGGGAAAGGGCTAATAATTAGGGGCCACTATTTTCCAGCAAGCCAAACAAAACTTTAGACCAGAAAACCAAAACCACGTTACATTGTGCTTTGAAGGATTACGATGGGTGGCTTTTGGCTTGGCTATGCTGGCCTTGGCCTGCCGGCCGGCCGGCGACCGCGCGCAACAGACGGCAGCATAAGTCGACGGACGACGAACTTTGTTACTGTATATGTACGTTTCGTATGCATGCATTTCTGTATATACATTTGAACACTAAAATGAAGATCCCAACTAGGTTACAATTGGGAAAGGTACAAAGTGCATTATGGACTAAAATGGGTTCTTAGTTTACACCGTCGGCAGTCATGTTTTTTTGTGGTTTGGATATGGTAAAATATGATCGAGGACATAAGATGAAGCAAACTATTATTCTTTTTACCAAACAAAAAAAAATTCATTTCATTTTGTTGGAAATTAAATTTTCTTTCTTTTTTCCCGCAAAGTCAGTGTTGAAAAGATAGTCACAAGGAGGAAGAAAGAAAAACGCGGGAGTCGACCAATAGTCGAACTCTCGATGAGAGGGCTTATTGTGCCACATGATGGGCAGCCCTGTTTAGTCGACGAGAAACAAAGCAGTAAGAAATCCAACTGAAGTGAGAAGCTAAGCTCCGAGTATCCTCCAGTAGAGCTCCACCCCGATCATGCGCCAAGTCGCCTCCCACCATCCCGCCGTATCAATTGTTGTGAATCCCCATGAAATTTGACAGAGACAAAGGAATGTGTCAGGCACCACTGTATGGCCTCCAGTATAACAAATGGATCTTGTAATCCTTCATAACACTTTCAGAAAGCAAAGGGAATATTACCTGACGATTGGAAACCCACAAAGCCAATACTACTTTCGTGACTGACCGCACCATCAAACTAAATAGGGCTCTAGAAAGTTGTTGTGATAAATTTCAAGTGTGTTCTTTATGCGACGAGAAGCTCTATAATGAGTTTAATGTACAACTCAATCATGTGATTGAAAGTTAGACGCACAGTTCGGTTAGTAACGCTATCGCATGAGCGGTGTTCTACACCGTGGCAGGAGACAATGAAAATTGTACTAGAAATCTCCCAACTCAAAGTTTCTACCTTTGTCATCAAATCTCATTAAGGGTTTGACATTTTTCAGGTTTGAATCGATTGTTTAGAACTACAAGTATTTTATGTTCACTCGTTTATTTATTCCGTAGAAATTTTTTAAATAAGAATCATAGAATTCGGATACGAAATTATATTCTTAGATTTATAAAGATCAACAAGATAATAACCACAATATTATACATGCGAACAAGGATTACATAAATTAATGGGGTTTTGTAGTTAAATAAACATTTTCTTAGGATCGTTGTAAAAAAATAAAAAGAGTCACTAATTGATATGCACAAAGGGTTTGGTCCAATATATAGCCACCAAAGATGGTTGATAAATAAATAAAATTGCCATCCAACAAATATATTTTTCTTTTATATTTAATTTGCTTAGTTTATAATTATTTATCAAATATATAAACTATAAAGTCGCTGTCTTCCTGACAACATAATCGATGGAATTGGTTGAGTGTCGGTGTACATGTCCATTCTTCACCAACCAACCACATACCTTTGTTTTGAGATGATGTGAAGCTCTTTCATTTCTGTCCCATGAAAGGAAGTTTTTAATCTAGAATATATATTCTTCATACTTTCATATAGTTCTTTTTAGGCCAAATTCACTTGTATAGCCAAAACTTTGACGGTTTTGTCAAATATAGCCACTTTTGGAGAAATACCAGAAATAGCCACTTTCGTCCAATTGTTTGACGGTGTTAGTTAACAGGCTGAGTGGACAAATGGAACATCCGACGTGGCTTTTATCGCCGAACAAGTTAATTCCACGTGGAAAAAAAAAGTTGAAACGGTAAATGCGCTGTTTTACACCTCAGTCACTTTCTATCGTTTTCATTTTCGCTTCCCTTTCCCCGAGTCGATATCCAGAGAAAACCCCTCTTCTCCGACCCCTCTTCTCCGACGAAGCACGACGCTCCCCCTTCTCCAGATCAGCGGCGGTAGTCGTCGACGACGAAAGCCTTTCCGATCCACGAACCCACCACGAGAAGCAAAACCCCTTTCCTCCTTTCCGATTCAGGAACGCTAAAATCTTTCCGAGCCTCCTTCCATCGAATCGGCCATGCCTCGCGGGGTTTCATAGATCCTTTCCACGTTCCGCCGTCGCGATTCACTGTTGGTGAGGGGGAATCGACCACTCAAGTCGGCCCTGGCCTTCTCTTCCTCCCTCGTCTGCCATTAAACCCATAAAATAAAAAAAAATAAACTCAGATCTATGTTCCCAAAACCAGAATCAAACGAAAACCCAAAGAAATCGACATATAAGATAAAAAATCGCACAGACGTTCGTCGACGTTGAGAAACGGCGTCGCCCCCCGTCGTCAGTCTTCTCTTCCTCCCTCATCTGCTATTAAACCCAGAAAAAACAAAACAAAACTCAGATCTGACTTTTCAAAACCAGAACCAAACGGAAACCCCAGAGAAATCGACATGTAAGATAAAAAAACCACTCACCTTCGTCGCCGATGTGAAGGGCCGCGTCGCCCCTCGCCGTCGTCATTGTCATCGCCAGGCAGTGTTCGCCTCCAGTCTCCGCCAGCACAGTATTTTTTTTCATTTCGATCGTTTTTTCCAGAAGTAATGAGAGGGAAAGGGGTAAATCGAAGAAAAGAAGAACAAGGCGAAGCCCTTTTTTGGTTCGGTTCGGAGGATTGTGGGTTTGGAGGAGAAAAGAAAGAAATCGAGAAAGAGAAGTGAGAGTTGTCTGGCGAAGGGAACGAGAGAGAAAGAAAAAAACGAGAGAGAGAACGGATTTTTTTTACCCATTATAAATGACGTGGCATCCCACATGTCAATAGATGCTGAGGTGGTAAGGAAACACAAGGTGAGGTGGCAGCCACATCATCTGTCCGTTAAATAGACTAACGGTGTCATTGACGCCGTCAAACTATTTAACGGAAATGGCTATATTTGTCATCGAACTTTCAAAATCCTGGCTATTTCTGGTATTTCTCCAAAAGTGGCTATATTTGTCACAACCGTCAAAGTTTTGGCTATGCAAGTGAATTTGGCCTTCTTTTTAATAGGTTGTTCAATTTATATGTAATTTCAAATACACTAAGTATCATGTATTTGAAGTTTTGAACAATCTCAATTCTATCAATATTTCCTATTTTCTCCAACAATTGAAGTTAAAGTTTTCTAACTAAAATTTGTTTACTTTTACCGAATGACTTGGAGATTCTTCATAAATATAAAAGCGTTCAGATATTGGATTGGAAGTGTTTCACATGAGGTAAAATTTGACATTGTAACCACTCCCGATTCGAAGAACGTTTGGCAATAATTGTCTCGACTGGTAATTTTTTTGAACGTATTAACGCGATCTCTTGACTTAAAATTCCAAACTTTTAACTCGTGCACTTTGATCAACACATAAGAATCATATCCATAAAATGATAAAAACCAAATTCAAAGCATTCGGCATAAAGAAAACCCATGCTCCCCTTGCTTCTTTCTGTGTTCTAAAATTGTATCCCAAAGTTCCCGACATCTCCCTTGATGATTTGCTAGAAGCGAAGTGATAGTATAATATGTCGCAAACATGACAACTATTTCTTCCGCATATTTCGTTAATCCTTGACCTTCTTAGAATATTCAATTTGTTAGAAGTTATACGAACAAACAAAGATTTCGCTAACATTGTTATTGACACCTTAAAATCTTTCAATACTTTAAATATCTTCTTCTTAATTTGTAATTATATTTAATATTGAATTAAGGAAAAACATCTACAATCTTTGCAAAAAAAAACTACTGGATTCCACCCCTAACCATAACTTTGACCTAATACTTCATATACTTTCATAGCATCGGTCATTAAAATGGAGTATCATCACATCTTAACAAAAATAAAATTAGAGAATGAACCAAGATACCATAAAAAAAAAAACCAAACAAATATCAAACAAGATACCAAACCTCTACGAAAAACTTGTGTCATTTTTTACCATGTAAAACGGCAAGGAAGACACCGATGAATCCCATCAAACCAGGGTAAAAAATCCTATTATGGTTAGGTGAATCGATTGATTTTTCTGCCGAGGATCTTTTGTCCCAGTCCACTCGGTTAGTTACTACTACGAGACTACAAAAAACTTCTCCTCCGATTTCACTGCCCTTCTTTTCTCACTGTCCGCCCCAATCTCGCGATACAACCCTTGACGATCCAACCAAAATACCGCCACACGGGAAAACGAGAGAGATAAAAGGGCAAGGCAGAGCAAAGTGGAGAGAAGAAAGAGCAAAAACCAGACACACAGAGAAAAGTGGCGAAGATATAGAGAGAAAGATACAGAGAGTGACACTGTGGAATCGCGAATAGCCGAATACAACAGTGAAAGCACGGCAAGGCGAGGAAGGGAGAAGGGTTTTTTTTCCCCCTTTCCAGTTTCCACCATCGTTCTTTGCGGGTATGTGAATGGCTTTTGGAGCTTACAGAGGAGAAGGATTCAGAGTGGGTTCGTGATCGTGGTCTGCTCCGTACAAGGTTACAGAGAAGGATTTCAGAGTGGTAAATTGTTAAAAAGCGTTTTCAGTCAGTGGGGGGAGACTTGCAGTTGCTTCTTCTTCTTCTTCTCCTTTTTCCCCCCTTTCCCCTGTTTTTTCTTCTCTGCCCACTGTCCGATTAAACAAGAATTGTCTCTAATGCTGTCTTTACTACGACTGCATGAAATCAGAATCCCCGATTTCTCCATCACCACCACTCTCCGCCTTTTGGGTTAATTAATAGGGACGGCCAAATCTTAGATAAGCAGCAAACGAAAAAGCTTCCACTCTTCCCTCTCTCTCTGTAGGCAGAACTGTACTCTTCCCTCCCTTTTTCTGTTCAGTTTCTCTCCTTGTCTCGTTCAGCCCCGTTTTTGGTTAATGTGCTGAAATTTTGTAACCAAACTTCTTCTTTAGCGCTTTTGGGTTGTGGGGTTTTGTAGAAATGTTTGAGATTTTGTTGCTTTAACCCGAAAGGAGCAATCTTTTCTAGTCTCTAGTCGTTTCCTCTGTTTCTTCTGCAACTTCCGAGTTCTGGTAATTTTGGGGGCGGAAAGGGGGGATTGCTGTAATTTTTCGTTTTCACCCATCTGGGTTCCTTCCATTTTTTTCTGGGTTTTGATTTTGTTTCATTTCATTTCCCCAATTTGCAGAGCAGAGAATCGGTGGAGCAAATGAAAGAGTTACTGGTGGAGAAGAGCTTGGATCCACAGCTATGGCACGCTTGTGCAGGTAGCATGGTTCAAATCCCACCTCTCAACTCGAAAATCTTCTATTTCCCACAAGGCCACGCGGAGCACTGCCAATCCCCCGTCGATTTCCCGTTTTCCTCCGCCCCTGCCTCCAAAATCCCGGCCTCCATCCTCTGCCGCGTCGCCGCCGTGAGGTTCCTCGCCGACCCGGAAACCGACGAGGTATACACCAAGATGAGCCTCGTCCCCCTCCCGCCAGACGAGGAGCTCGATTTCGACGACGAAATCGGCAGCGGAGTCCAGGAGAAGCCGGCTTCCTTCGCCAAGACCCTCACCCAATCCGACGCCAACAACGGCGGCGGATTCTCGGTTCCGCGTTACTGCGCCGAGACGATTTTCCCCAGGCTGGATTACACGGCGGATCCTCCCGTCCAGACGGTGGTAGCTAAAGACGTCCACGGCGAGGTTTGGAAGTTCCGGCACATCTACAGGGGAACTCCCAGGAGGCATCTGCTGACTACTGGGTGGAGCACGTTTGTCAATCAGAAGAAATTGGTCGCCGGGGACTCAATCGTGTTTCTCAGAGCGGAGAACGGCGATCTCTGCGTCGGTATCCGCCGCGCCAAGCGAGGGATTGGCGGCGGCAGCGGGCCAGGATGGTCCTCGTCTTCTTTCCCCCAATCTGGTTGGGGCATTAACGCAAACACTTGCGGGGCAACTGGGATGGCGAACCCGTACAGCAATTTTTCGGTGTTTCTGAAGGAGGATGAGAGCAAGGCAGCGAGAAATGGAAGCTGCGGTGGGAAGGGATCGGCGGCGGCGACGAAAGTGAAAGCGGAGGAGGTTTTGGAGGCGGTGAGGTTGGCTGCAAGTGGGCGGCCGTTTGATGTTTACTATTACCCCAGAGCTAGTACTCCAGAGTTCTGTGTCAAGGCTTCTTCGGCTAGAGCTGCGATGAGAATCCATTGGTGCCCTGGGATGAGGTTTAAGATGCCCTTTGAGACTGAAGATTCTTCGAGGATTAGTTGGTTCATGGCTACTGTGGCTTCTGTTCAGGTTGCGGATCCCATTCGCTGGCCGAATTCGCCATGGCGCCTTCTCCAGGTTCTTGCCCAATACTTGCTTTGCTATTGTTTCGCTTAAAGTGTCGAACTTTGATCGCTCCAATGACTTATCTGGGATTCATTGATGAATGGAGCTTGATCAATATGCAATCACTGCTAAATCTGAAACTCATTTGTTGGTTTGATATGAGGGAGGTTTTAATCTTAGTAAATGATGGAAGTCGTCCATGTAAAGTTAGTCCAATGAAAATGATGAGGCATGTTTGTTGCTCTTTTCTGGGACTATTGTCTCAACATTGATTCTCACTGAACTTCCAGCGGGCTCATGGTTTTTCTTTGGTCTTTGTTCATGGACAGGTGACATGGGATGAGCCCGAGCTGCTGCAAAACGTGAAACGAGTCAGCCCATGGTTGGTTGAACCGGTTACAAACATACCGATGATCCAGCCATCAGCTTTCTCCTCCCCGCCAAGAAAGAAGTTTCGGTTCCCATCAGGACCATTCGACTTTCCACTTGATGGCCAACTCCAGTTGCCGTCGTTCTCAGGCAACAACAACCCCCTTTCGTCCAGCAGCAGCCCATTTTGTTATTTGTCAGATAACAGTGCACCTGCAGGCATACAGGGAGCCAGGCATGCTCATATCGGGGTATCTTTATCCGATCTCCACCACATCAACCACAACAAATTCCAACACCACCCACCAACTGGGGCGCTATTCCCGCCCAATTTCCAGCAGTTCAATCCACCACCACCACCATCTCTACATTGTTCCAGAATCTCCGAGAGCAGCAATGAGACGGTGTCTTGCTTGCTAACTATTGGCAATGGCAACTCCAGCTCTTCTTCAAGCCTAGATAAACCTTCTTCTTCTCAAGAGAAGAAGAAGCAGTTCTTCCTCTTTGGTCAGCCGATACTCACAGAACAACAAATCTCCCACAATCATTCGAGCGAATCCATCTCGAGGAGTTCGTGCGACGAGATGCAAATCTCGTCGTTGGAGAAGCCCTCTACTGCTGGTGCATGGAACCAGAGTTGTACTTCCAATGGCGGGGCCCACAATTGCAAGGTGTTCATAGAATCAGAAGATGCAGGGCGGTCAATCGACCTCACGGCCTTTGCTTCATACGAGGAGCTATATACGAGTCTGGCACGCATGTTTGGAATGGAAAGAGCCGTGGTACTCAGTCACGTTCTCTATCGGGATACAACTGGTGCTGTCAAGCGAACCGGTGATGAACCATTCAGGTAAAACCCTGTGAACTATGGTTTGATAGAGATGTTTAGCAATCTGCGGTTTATCGGTGATTGGTCTCAACTCTTGATGATGATGATGGTAATGCAGTGTGTTCTCGAGGACTGCAAGTAGATTGACCATACTGGTAAACCCTGCTGGGAATGACAGTGCATCCAGGTAATCCCACCGACGAAACTGTTTGGTGATCGACGATGTAGTTTTTGGATCGATTTTTTTCCGTGGCTGGGTTAGCTAAACCAGTGTGCTGCTCTTGTGTGATGTGCAGGACATGGATGACGCGGACTGCTGAAAGTGGACTGGAGGCTTCAAACAAGAGAGGGCCATTGAGCATATTCGCTTAGAGGAAGAAGAAGAAGAATTGAATTGGAGCGTGTAGGAAGGAGCTGTTATAAATGTTAATGAATTGTTAATGTTATGTACCTATGAAGCAAAGACGTTGACTGTGATTTGCTGTGGTTGTGGAACATGTTCTTCTCTTGCTGTCTTTCCGATGCAGAAAACCTGCTGTATTGTAACTACTGGAACTTGCTCTACGGTTTAATGAACTCCGTGTTTTTTTTTCTTCTTCTTATTCCAATTTTAAATGTTGCGGTTCATTTCGGAACTAAGAGGGAAAATTACATTTCACTACTCTAACAAACACAATCTCTCCCCATTAGCACGAGATTTTTATTATTGACTTATGAGCGCAGATTGCAACTCCATATATACGATTTGTGAATTATTTTTAACAACGAGTTGAAAGGAGAGTATCGGGATTCACAGGATATGAACTAAGTATTTTATTGTTGATATTATTTAAACATGGGTATCATGTAACCACGGGATATGAATAAAACAATTCAAGATCGTTGATTTACTACTCTATCGTTAATTTCGTTTTAAAGCAGCTATTAATACAAAACAAATTCTTATAGTAACCAAAATTGTTTTATTTGGGTTCTTTTTGGTAATAATTTTTATTAATTATTAAGTTGGAAGTAATTAATTGTTTGCGTGGGGATGGGGAAAGAAAGAAATAAAGAGGGGAATCCAAATTCGGGATAGAAAAGGCATGGGGATTGGAGCGAACCCTGGAAACATGCTCCGGCCGGGTCGGGTGTTGACTTCTATTGCTTTTAACTGACTCCCACGCCCGCCCCCACCAATTTTGACGCCCAGCCTGGGTTCGGGTTCGGGCCCGGTCGGGCCGTGGGTGTGGGTTCGCCCGGGCCTTACTATTTTTTTTATGCTAAAAAAAGTACCACCCCGCCAGCATTTGCCAGTCATTCGTTTTATTATTATGTTATTCCACATGGGTTAAGATAACTAATTTTACTAATTTACTCTCGATTGAACTAGAAATTCACCTATTATCGGTTAGCAATTTTTCAATAACTATGATTGCGTCGAAATTGTAAAAAAAAAAAGACAAACGACTACAAGTGAAAAAACAATGACAACTTATAATAGTTAGCCAGCTTAACGGATCCAGTTGTTTTGCTTAGACAAATGGAAGTAATAAATGGTGATAATTATTACGGTAATTAAGTGAGCACACGTGGGGAAGGGAGCCGAGACCAACTCGGGAAAAAACATGAGGCACGTGGGTGGGTTTCCAACTCTAACGCCGTTCTGGTGGGCGGGCCTGCCCGTGGCCCGGTTGGTTGCCCTTTTGTGCGGGTCCGTTTATGGGCTTTTGGATTTTAGCGGGGTGTGGGAGTGGTTCAGGACCAAACTCACGAGAATCGTGATCTAATAGTTAAGAGATTTTTTTATGGATCGAGGATTGGATAAATCGTGCATTCGATCAGTTTTGGTCCGATCGAAAGACTTGCATTGCATCTCCGACGACTCAGAATGGGACTTCTGTCAGAGCTTCATGCCTTGTAGAGAAGGCAAAATATTTACTTCGGTGCATTTTTCTTTGGTGTTTGTAAAATTCGTATGGCCAAGGAATGGAACCATATAATACTATGTTCCGGTGTCCGAACGTTGATTTGGTCTGGTGCAGTCCGATATCGATCGCACCGTTGCACGGATTTCCACTCCACCCCTTAGCTTACACCCACTTATTCACCCGCACTCGTTTCTTTGCTTTTGATACAGCTCATTTTTTATTCTATTATATCATAAACTCTTGATCTCCACGATTCATTGTACATAAATTTATTGTGACTCTTTATCTCAAATGAAAGTCCATTTACGAAATTGGAGTTCCCACAAACCCACCACACATTGTATTTATTAGAAGAAGGTTAATCATGCATCTTATACCGCTCTTTAACTATCACGTCGAAAACAAATAACCACCCCTAATTGCTATAAAGGGTTTGGTCCATCCAATAATTTCTTCCCCATATGACTTGGTTGGCCTATGTAGCCACCAAAGATAGTTTGAATGAAACAATTAAATACAAATAATTGCCCATCCAACAAATATCGTGTTTCCGTATTGTTTTGGTTAATTACTTCAAAATTTATTTATTTATGCAAATGAGAAGTCGCTCTCTTGCTGACAACCAAATAGATGGAATTGGTTGGGTGTCGGTATACATGTCCCAATTCTTCACCAACCAATCCGATTCCCTTAGCTTTGTTTGAGATTATGTGAAACTCCTCCATTTTTGTCACAATGGTGTATCGGATTGTTTTCTCGTTAATACAACTGATTTTTTGATAATTTTTTTTTAAAAATTTGTGTTGTATTTTATTCTCTTATATCATCATTGAATTAACATCTTGAGATTAAATTTCAAATTATTCTTAAATATTCCGTCAGACTTTGAAAGATGGAGAAGCAAAGATAATTTAGTTACGTTACAACATAGTTTATGATAGAGTATAAAGCATGCATAAGAATAAGATTACAAATACTTCATTTGTGGCTGAAGTTAATAATTAATTGTCCGATTAGTTGTCTCCACATTGCATGTCGACAGTCCAACGTTGTTTAAGCTTCCGACTACCTTTTTCATTTCACGGGGTTATAAGTTATAACGATGTTCATATCCTTAATAAACATTAATTAAATTACCCCTCCTCTCTCTCCTACTCCAGTTGTAACTTGTAAGTGTTTAAAAAATATGATTATGATTTGCTTAAATGATCAATACGTTCGAAAAGATTTTGGACTACTGTTTATCTTCTATGTAGCGTATGCTCGTAATTTACAATCCTTGCTTTTAATTAGGGATGACAAATTGTTCCTATAACAAAGATTTTGCTATAAACAATTTCCAACAACCATCAAATCTAATTTTCGCTACTAAATGTTGATGGAATTGTAATATGACATATAAAATCTGGTTCATATGTAGTTTCCAGAACATCCATTCGCATCATCTTCAAACAATGGCATATTGAATTCTTTGATAAAGTGTGAAATTTTTCATAGGATATTGATGTTGATTAGTTTTTTCCCCTGAGATACTATATGGATAGTGAACGAGAATGCACAAAAGTTGGGGGTTTTTAGGAACAAAAAAAAAAACACAAAAAATTAGTGATATGGATTCTCTAAAACATACTAGGAGTTTATGAAATTCTTGTGTGCATCTCAGGAAGTTTGTCAGATTTGTATTAGGTTTGATTGTCAGATTCTAACCCTCGCCTTGAAGCTTGCTCCTGATCGATGGCCAATGGCAATGTCGACCAATCTTGACACGTATCATTTTTCTCCTCCAATTGGCTTTTTGGATCAAGGTGATGCTTATCCTAAGCATTTTAATGGTCTTGCTGATTGGGTGTCTCGGAATGAGCGAATGGGATCTCTTCCCTCGGATTGGTTTATTATTGCTGATCTTATTTCTCGTTTGCTGTAAGAATGTACTTGGCTTCGGTTGATAAGTTATGGAATGAAAGCAAATCTAATTGTAAAAAAAAACATACTAGGAGCATATTGTTGGTTGGTTTGGACATGAATACTTAAAATATCAAACTAACATCAAAACGATTACTTTTTCATTGGTTTCACAAAAAAAAATCATCAATTTGTTTTATCAGTTCGATATTTTTCATGAAATCGGTTCGCAGTGAATTGTATATCATGAAGTTGGGTGAAAAATTGGTCTTGTTCACACTTTTAAGAAATAAAAATTAATAAGTCACAATAAAATAATTAATAAAAACCGCTCGAAATAAGTGTTTTATTTCTGATTCCTTGTGCTTGTCAACCATTCATACGTGGATTAAATGGAATTAAAGCGGGATTAGGTTTAGAAATAGAATATTGTTTTTATTTGTTTGTTTAGTTTCGGTTTGACGCAACGCTTCGTGGGTAGAGAGATAGAGACTAGAGAGAGAGAGAGAGAAAAAGAAGTGATAAAGAAAATGGCGGGTGACTGGTGAGGTGAGACAAATGGAAGAAAGACCAAACCAGAAGAAATAAACATTTCACAGCAAACAGACACACTCAGAAAACCGGGAAACGATAGAGATAGAAAGAGATAGACTAGAGAGAGTCAGTAGCGAGCCTGTGGATCGCCTCCCCTCATTAAACAAGAATTGTCTCTAATGCTGCTGTCTCTCTACTACGACTGCATGAAATCACAATCCCCCCATTTCTCAATCACCACTCTTCTCTCCACTCTCTGCCTTTTGCTTTAAGTAATCGGGACAGATTCGAGTTCAGCCCCAGGTTTAGCGTGCAGAGATTTTTTTTTGCAACCGAACTTCTTCTTCTTCTACCCTTTTGGATTGTGGCTTGTGGGTTCCCGAGAAATGAACGAGACTCTGTTCCTTTAACCCCAAAGGAGCCTTCTTTCTCTGTCTTGTCTATTCATTTCCTCTGTCAGATTGTTGAAATTGCTTTGATTTTCGTTTTCCCCATCTGGGTTTTTTTCAATTTTCTTTTGTGGGGAGAAGAAAAAAATGAAGGAGTTGTTGGAGAAAAGCTTGGATCCACAGCTATGGCACGCTTGTGCAGGGAGCATGGTTCAAATCCCACCTCTCAACTCGAAAATAATCTACTTCCCACAAGGCCACGCGGAGCACTGCCAATCCCCCGTCGATTTCCCCTTCTCCTCCGCCGCCGCGGCCTCCAAAATCCCGGCCTCCATCCTCTGCCGCGTCGCCGCCGTGAGGTTCCTCGCCGACCCGGAAACCGACGAGGTCTACACCAAGATGAGCCTCGTCCCTCTTCCTCCCAACGCCGCCGAGCTCGATTTCGGCGCAGACGAAATCGAGCTCGGCAGCAATAGCGGAATCCAAGAGAATCCGGCTTCCTTCGCCAAAACCCTGACCCAATCCGACGCCAACAACGGCGGGGGATTCTCCGTGCCGCGTTACTGCGCCGAGACTATCTTCCCCAGGCTGGATTATTCGGCGGATCCTCCCGTTCAGACGGTTTTAGCTAAAGACGTCCACGGCGAGGTTTGGAAGTTCAGACACATCTACAGGGGAACTCCCCGGAGGCATCTGCTGACTACTGGGTGGAGCACGTTCGTGAACCAGAAGAAATTGGTCGCCGGGGACTCAATCGTGTTTCTCCGAGCGGAGAACGGCGATCTCTGCGTCGGTATCCGCCGCGCCAAGCGAGGATTTGGTGGGTCGTCCTCGTTTCCCCCCCAATCTGGTTGGGGCATTAACACAAACACCTACGGGGCAGGTGGGATGGGGAACAACCCATACGGCAATTTTTCTCTGTTTCTCAAGGAGGATGAGAACAAGGCTGTGAGAAATGGTGGAAAGGGATCGTCGTCGCCGGCGGCGGCGGGGAAGGTGAAACCGGAGGATGTTTTGGAAGCGGCGAGATTGGCTGCGAGTGGGCGGCCATTTGATGTGTACTATTACCCTAGAGCTAGTACTCCGGAGTTTTGTGTCAAGGCTTCCTCGGCTAGAGCTGCAATGAGGATCCATTGGTGTCCTGGGATGAGGTTCAAGATGCCGTTCGAGACCGAGGATTCTTCGAGGATCAGCTGGTTCATGGCTACTGTGGCTTCTGTTCAGGTTGCTGATCCTATCCGCTGGCCGAATTCGCCATGGCGACTTCTCCAGGTTCATACCCAACACTTGCAGCATTGCTATTGTGTTCCTTAAAGTGTCAAATTTTGGTCTTTTTGATTGTATGCTTAGTATTTCAGCCATGAATGGAGCCTTGATTTTAGGTCCCCTTCTTGTGAAGAACACAACTGCTTTGGTTCAAACACTAGAGCTTCTTCGATTCGGCCGAAATTGGCTAGAAATTAGTAATGCAGACACTGAAAATTCTCCAGCTAATTTGTTGGTTGACGACATGTGAGGGTCTAATCTTAGTAAATGATGATAGTACGAGCATCTTATGTTAGTCCAATGAAAATTGTAAAGCATGTTTCTTGGATCATTGTCTCAATACTGACTGACTGGCCAGCTCATGCTAAGCTAAGAACTTTGATTAACATACTCATCCGTACAAATTATGTGCCGGTGATCCCAATGTTATGAATTTTGTTTTCTTTATCTGGCATTGTTTCTTTGCTTTATGTAAGGGATGTTTCTGTATGGGACAACATTTCTCCATTGGTTGTAATCGATCCAATGTAGAATGACAGTTGGGGGTGGTCTGGCTTTTGGTCTTTGTTAGGTGACCTGGGACGAGCCGGAGATGCTGCAGAATGTGAAACGAGTCAGCCCGTGGCTGGTCGAACCGGTCACAAACATACCGATGATCCAACCATCGGGTTTCTCCTCACCGCCGAGAAAGAAGTTTCGGTTCCCAACAGGACCGCTCGACTTCCCACTCGACGGGCAGTTCCAGTTGCCTTCGTTTTCAGGCAGCAACAACAACCCCCTCTCGTCCAGCAGCAGCCCATTGTATTATCTGTCAGATAACAGTGCACCTGCAGGCATTCAGGGAGCCAGGCATGCTCATATCGGGGTATCTTTATCCGATCTCCACCACCTTAATCACAACAAACTCCCCCAACCCCCATCCAGCGGGTCATTCCTCCGCAATCTCCAGCAGTTCAATCCACCACCGCCAGCACCACCATCAACTCATTCTAGATTCTTGGAAACCGGCAGTGAGAGCCTATCCTGCTTGCTAACCATTGGAAATGGCAACTCTAGTTCTTCTTCAAGCCCCGAGAAGCCTTCTTCTTATTCTTCGTCATCTTCTCAAGAGAAGAAGAAACAGTTCTTCCTCTTTGGCCAGCCGATACTCACCGAGCAGCAGATCTCCCACAACCGTTCTGGCGAATCCATCTCAAGAAATGCGCCCGATGAGAAGCAACTCTCATCGGAGGAGAAATCCTCCAGTGCTGGCGGCGGGCATTCATCACGGAACCAGAGTTGTTTATCGGATGGTGGGTCGCAAACTTGCAAGGTGTTCATAGAATCAGAGGATGCAGGACGAACGATCGACCTCACTGCCTTTGCTTCGTACGAGGAGCTGTACACAAGGCTGGCAAACATGCTTGGAATGGAAAGAACCGCGATACTCAACCACGTAGTCTATCGCGATACAGCTGGCGTTGTAAAACGAACTGGCGATGAACCATTCAGGTACCTCCCTTTTCCCAATTGTCCCCCCATTACAGATCTTTGTGGTTGATTAAGCTTGTCAGCATGTCGCAGATAGTTGTGATTCGTCTTAATTGTTGTTTGATGATGAATGCAGTTTGTTCTCGAGGACTGCAAGTAGGGTTACCATACTGATAAATCCTCCCAGGAATGACAATGTTGCAAGGTAATCCAAGGACCGATGTGGGTTTTCACCGGTTTTTTCGTGCTCGGTTCGTAAACCCAGCGAGTTCTTATATGATGTGCAGGAAACGGATGATTCGAAGCGCTGAGAGTGGATTGGAGGCCTCAAACAAGAGAGGACCCTTGAGTATATCCGCTTAGAAGAAGAAGAAGCGGCAGCTGCTGCAGAAGAATAAGAATCCAATCCTTTGGAGCGTAGGAAAAGAAATGGATGGAGTTGTGAGAGTTCAAAGTGTGAATCATATGTAGAGCTATCTCTGAAGGCTAAAAAACGACTTTTTGACTATAATTTGCTGTTTTTTTTGGAACATGTTCTTCTGTGTCCTTGTTGACTATTGTTATGCTAGTGGCGGAGCCACATGAGGCCAAGGTGGGTCATTTGCACCACCTTGGCCCAAAAAATATGGAAATCCGTAAAGTAATGTTTTATGATCTCTATTTAACTTTTAGTTTATATATTCGATAAGAGATTTTAGTATATACAAAAACTTGAAAAGTAATGTTATTACTTAGACCTATTTGTTGCTATCGGTTGTCATTCAAGTATTGAAATAGTACTTATGCAATTAGCAAAATAAAGAAACACTTCATAATAAGATGAGTTGTGTAATCATGAACGATTTTTCGTTGTGATATCTTAACATCTCAAATAATTTTTTTGATGAATATATTTTAGAAAATTTTCAAAACATGAACACATTCAACAACATACGTTATATATATCTTTTTCATGTTTGACCCACCTTAGATAAATTTCTGGCTACGTCATTGGTTATGCAGAAAGTCTGCTGCTGTCATGTACTGGAACTTTGATTTTTTCCTTAGAAAATACCTCTTCCCTTCCATGGATATTGATTGAACAAGTCAAACTACGATCCAATAAAAATTGAACATACCTCCTATTTATGACATTCATCTCCCCAAATTTTAATCACGTCATCGATTTATTGCATTAGATTACATGTTCACATCGAAACTCCTTTCTTCTCCGATTATACTGCGTGCGCATCACATTTGCAACTTGCAAAGGCTAAACAAAAATTTGGTAAACGAAAAATCCAACTCCTCATCAAGGAAGAATCGATGGTGCTAAACGATAACGAGTCGTGACTGAATGGATTAAGTTCTCGATTTTGTTAATTGTTATCTCGTTCGAGAAATAATGTGGAAGAGTGTGCAACTGTCTGGCTGATGTAAACCGGAAGTAATTGCATGGGGATTGGAGCGAACCCTGAAAACATGCTCCGGCCGGGTCGGGTGTGTTGACTAAAAATGACAGCAAGCAAGTTATTGGTTGCACCAAGTTTGACGCAGCCAGCCTGGATTCGGGTCGGGTCGGGTCGGTGTGTCGTCGACGTGGCCGCTCGGTCACTCTCCTTAAAAATGCAGCTTTTGGCAATCCCCAGCAAATTGCCAGTCATTCATTTTATTATTTGTTTTTTTTCTTTTCCCTCTTAGAATCTGTTTGATTATTATAATGAAATGATTCTGCGGTTATGGAATTCATCTGCAAATTGCCATTGTTTTTACGTTGTCGTCTTCCTTTGGATTTACATTTCTTTTCTTGGACTCAACGACGTCGTTAATACTATTATTATTAAAAAAAAGAAAAGTGAGCACACGTGGGGAACGGAGCCGAGTCCAACTCGGGATAACACGAGGCAACGTGGGTGGGTTCCGTCTCTAACGCCGTTTCGGTGGCCGGGCCTGCCCCCGGTTTCCTTGCCCAGCCCGCCCTCCTCGACCGGTTCAACCACTTTCCCTTTATTTTTTCAGATTTGATGATTTTTTTTCCTTCTCCAAACATTCGTTGTGTGACCTTGTCCATTGCACCTTGTGAAATCAGGGTATGCCGTTTGTGAAATCCCGAGTTAAAGTCTCGGATTGATATTGGAGACGATGACATGCAAGTTGTCGTGTAAAATACACTTCAATTGAGATAGCAAATAAATAAGAAGACAAGATTGAAACGACAACTGCAAATTTCCCGATTAACTAGTGAAGAGAAGTTCATACAACGACAAAAATGTCGTTAGTAAATTACCCAAGTGTGAACCGGTGGAGCTGATTTAAGTTCCGCTTCTTTCTGGGTGTATTTTGTGTTGCTTCCTAATGGCGCGCTCGGAGTGCTGTTGGTATTGACACATCCATGATTTCTAACTCGTGGCGGATTCTACTAAAATGCGACTCAGTGCTCTACTATGTTTTGGATCCGCTGCTGTTTTTTACAATAACACGAATTGTTTTTTTTTTTCATTTCGAATAGCTTTTAGAAATGATTACTTACTAATGAATTAAGATTGTATTTTGAAGACAAGAGTGGTGAGTTGTAGCTTATAAGCACTATAAAAGCTCCATCTTCAATGGCCGGGCGCGGCTATTGAAGCAAGACGGTCAACAATGGACGTGCATGGATGGACAATTGGCCAAGACAGAAGCATGGGGAATCTTCAATTCCAAAAATTTCTTAACCCTAATTTCATGGTTTTCAGTTCCAAAAACCCTTAGATTCAGGGATGTGCTTCTTTGTCTTGTTTGGTGCCTTGCCTGGTTGGGGAAAAACACAGAGAGAGAGGCAGAGTTCCTTCATTGATGAGATTGTGAGAATCTCCAGAATGGGTGACTTCAAAGATTTCTGTGGTTGCCAATTGGGCATAGATTGCTGAATCCTATGTATCAAACCACTAAATGCTTATTAGATGTGTAGTTGGAAGTTAAAATCATCAACTAATTGTTGTTATGTCAGAAAATTTACACAAAAAAGTAAATTATGCACCTCCACGAAAAAGACAATCATGGATTATGTACGCAATTATCTTATTGAATTATTATTAAGAATGTAAGTTGTACACGTAAAATAATATTTGAATCACAACAAAAACAAAGAAGTTGTATAACATGTCACATCAACTTGTTTTCGCTAGCTCATTTCGATTAAAAAATTAAATTTTCATGTTTTCGAATATATCATCATAAATCAAGTTGAGACATGTCGTGATGAAATCATTTGGGCCCATATTACTATTTCTAAAGCAATTACTAATATTTGTTATGTAATTGTTTTTAAAATTTTTGGTTAAAACCTCCGCACTTTGGGGATCGTTGGTCTTTTGCTTTCTCACACGAGATCCAAGATTCGTCGTGTGCAAAACGGTTGACCCGCTGGATATAGCCCACAACCCGGCATTAACTAACATCCACATGCATGGATTAATTACCCAAACCACCTTCTTCTTATATTTTAATTATTGATCTATGGGCTTATTTAGTTATTTTAATATTTTTATCTTGGATTGATTATCTTACCAAATCTTGAAATTTTAAGTTTGGGTTCTATTTTTTATTTAAATAAAAGAGACTGAAGTTGGAATCTCTATTAATAGATAATAAACTTGTGTGAATTGTTAAGTTGTCATTGTAAGGTTAGTATCGAGTATTGACTTTCATGTTTTCGTCATTGGATACTATTTTATTTGGTGATGAAATATTGACTCCATAGATAGTTACTTAGTTAGATGTAAAAAATCATGTGTTGGTTAATTCTAATCTAATTTTTTATCGCTGGTTTAAATTAGCGAATTATATTTAACAGTGATGAATATAGATGAAAATAGCTACATAATTTTATAAGCTGACATTATCCATTCATAGTACAGTAGTCAGCCCAGAGGTACGGTTATATATTTATACAGTTAATGTAACCTTATTTTTACAGTATTTGGAATATATAGCATTCGTAATGAAATAGTGTTATTTTTACATGAATTAACCGAAGATTGGACTTCAATACTATATTATAATCTCTCATAAGCATTAATAAAAATTAGCTTACCGACAAATACCCTAACCTTTGCTATATTGATACTTTTTTCATGTGCAATTTTTGTAAAAGTGGAAAAATACAATTTTTGGGGTAAAAACAGCATAAGGGAGAAGAGAGTTGACAAACATAATTAAACGACAGAGATCTGGTGAGGTGGCTTCTAACACTCGTTCGTGTGGCGGACCCCACAGCCCACATGTTACTGTCCTTTTGACGTGGCGGGGACGGAGGCTAGGCCCGGGCCCGGGCCCAGGCCCACTAGCATTTAAGCTTTTTGGCAGATGTTACGTGTACGGTAGAGATTCATCCGACTCGGTTTGCTTTCAATGGACGAGATTTACTTCTCTTTTTGTTTTTTTTACCGCCACCTCTTTATTTCGATGAAAAACTCGTCTCGCGCATCTCAACTTCTCCCGTTGTTTTCCTACATTCTCGCGACGAGATATACTAACTGCCCCTTGCTTTGCTTCTACTATTCGTCGGCAAAACGTGTGGTTTGTGATACCAAGGTCGTACAGGATTAATTAGTAGGAGAATGATATTTTGATACTATATTGTTGTATTTAACTGATCACATATTAGTAATAATATCATTAGTCAAAATGGTATATTTGATTGGCACATATTAAATTGGTGTAATATTCGTTTCAAACAGATAAGAATAATTGCTGGTCACATAAAATCGACTGACAACAACTTAGGATTAAGGACCAGACGTCCAGATCGAATCAATTGTGCATTCTGTCTAGTTTTTTTACAGTCCAAATATCATTTTGGTTCACTTTTCTTTAGTATTTCTGAAATTCATAGTACCAAAGACCGTACCGCATTATATTATATTCGGTATGATTCGTTCCAAGTGTCGCTTTGATATGGTGCGGTGCGGTACAGACCAAATCGTTGCACACTCCTATTTGCATATTGTGAAGCCGATCGATGATCGAGAGAGATAAAAGTGTGCGAGAGAGTGATACGACACTTGAAGGGGAGAGAGAGGGAGAGATAAGAAAGCGAGAGAAAGAGAGTCTAGATTTGCTCGGTTTGTTCGGATAATGCCGAACAGAACCATACCAATAATCAATTCATTAAACATCGAAACCGAATGATAGTTCGGCTCGAAATCAGTTGTCGGTTTGAGCATTTCTCGATTTGACTTTGATCAGATTCGATTTCATTTTGTCCGAGCCGAGCCGATGCCCACCCTGGACAGCATGATATGATGGAACGTGTGAGTGTTAGTAATTACGTGTTGGCATTACATCAAACCATCACTCTCCCCACATGTCTACAATTAACGCTAGCTATTTGGTCTTACCCGTAACCGGACCGTATAATCCGGACCGGGACCGGATAGCAAACAATTCAATCCCATCTTCGGTATTAGATTTGAGGCAAAAAACCGTTTGAGACCGGATCGAAAACCGGATAAAGACCGGATAAGAGAGCCCAACACCCAAAACTTAACCAACTACTCACCCTTTGAGACCTCAAGCCACTCAAATCCCCACAAGCTCAATCTAGAATCAAAACCGAATTGGGACCGGACCGGTTCAAGACTGGACCGGATCAAAACCGGACTGTATCCAATCCAATATTTGGTCCTTATATTCCCGAAAAAACCGGATTGGGACCGAATCAATTCAGGCCAATTTAACCGGACCAGACCGTATAACCACACCTATCTACAATGCACACCCCATAATTACGATTACTATTGCTAATGTCGTTCTCACCATCAGCATCGACCCATCAGATTCAATTCTAGGTGTATGTATGTATGTACGTTAGTATGTATTGTTTTGGTGATTTGTCTCTGTCGATGTCTCAACTGTCTGTCACGTACCTCTCTTCTTGATAGGGCTCTTTCAAGCATTATGGTTTGGTTCTGCCTCAACACTCTTCTTCTAATGATAATCAACTGCATGTCCCACCACTTCAACAAGATTCCACCTGATCCTCTCTCTCTCTCTCTCTATGTTTTCTACCCTCCTTTTCTTATGGCCATGGAGACAGTGACGTCATCATCAGCTAACCAAAGAAGAGGAAATGAGGAGGGAATTGGTGGTGGTGGTGATGCTCATAGTCAAA